GGGTCTAGACCAAGGACCGAAACTAAATAATTTTTTATTTTTTATATTGAATTAATTAAATTATTTTATTTCTTTATAAACAAATTAGCAAATTAATTAAATAAATTAGATTATTTCATAATTTTAATTTTAAAGTCCAAAACATTTTTAAAATACATTAACCCATTTTAATTTGAAGCAAATGAATATACTTTATGTAGTTTTGCTGTAATATTGATATCTACTTTTTAGTATTTGTATACATTGAATTAATCTTATTGGACGGCTAGGTATTTATATGTTTTTGAATTGGGCTACGTTAATTTGTAAAAGTTACAAATGAAATATCATTAGTTGTATTCATGTAATGTTGTTGAAAATATTAAAAAATTTAATTATGGTATGGAACCGAACCGAACCGACCCGAACTCGAACNCCGAACCGAACGGAACCGAACAGACTCGAACCGAACCCGAACGATTATATATTTATATTTGGACCCGACGGGTCCATTAATTAAATACCCGAAAGTTTTGGGTTGGTTCGGGTCTCTTCAGAATCGAACCAAACTGACCCACGAACAGCCCTAATCAGTCGTATATGTAAATTTCCTTGAATGCCCTCTGACTTGTCAAGGGTCTACAGTCAATGTCGAAGAGTAAATAGAGGGTGTTTGACACCCATTTTTTGGAGAATATAATTGTTGGAATAGTGATTGATGGGAGAATGTGTGGTGAAAAAATTTTAGATTTGTGTGCTATATTATCTTATTGGGAGAATGTATGGTTGAAATGAAGAAAAAGAAAAAAATGAGAATGGGTGCCAAACACGAGCATAATGTTATGGGTAATTACCACATAACGTCCTCATTTTTTATTATTATTGTGGAAACGTCTCTATCTTTCATTTTTTTTTTAGCATTTTCACCTTTATTTTCACATTTTATTGCGCAAAAAGTCATTTTCGTCCATTTTCTCAATTAAAAATTGTAAATGGGTAATTAGCGCATAATATCCCTACCTTTTACTATTATTGCGAAAAGTTTTTATACCTCTTTTTTACATTTTCACCCTTAAACATTTGATTGCACAAACCATTATTTCTATTCATTTTCATTCAATTTCTCAATAAAGATCTTTAAAATAATAAATATACAATTCTATTTAAATAAAAAAATCTAAAGAATTAATTGCAACCATAATCCAATTTTTTTTAAAAAGTGCAAACAAATCTCAAATAAATTATTAAAAATTAATTTTTTAAAAAATGCAAACTAGCCACAAATAAATTATTTAAAAAAAAAAAAGAAATTCGTTTTTTAAAAAAAAAGGGCAAAGGAGTCTCAATTAAATTTATTAAAAAATTAAAAAGTGCAAATGAGTTTCAAATAAATTATTAAAAAAATTAGAAATTAGAAAAAAAATTAATTTTCTTTAATTTCTTTTTTTAAATAATAGGGTATACTCATTATTTCACAACTCTTTATTGAAAAATTGGATGAAAATGAATAGAAATGATGATTTGCGCAATGAAATATGTAATTAAGGGTGAAAATATAAAAAAAAAAATGTTTGGAGATTTTCCGTTATAATAGTGAAAGGTAAGGACATTATGTGCTAATTACCTTTTTAATAATTTATTTGGGACTCATTTGCGCTTTTTTTTAAAATTTTGGAACTGTAGTTGCAATTAGTTTTTTTCTTTTTCATTTTTTTTAAAAAGAGAATGATATATTCTTCATTTTACAATTTTTAATTGAGAAAATTGATAAAAATGACTTTTTGAGCAACAAAATGTGGAAATAAGAGTGAAGATGTCAAAAAATAAAAAATAAAGACATTTTTCACAATAACAGTGAATGTGGGAACATTATGTACTAATTACCATAATGTTATCTAGCACCATTGGTGTTAACACACCGTTATATATGCGCTAATTGATAGGATGAATAAAAGGTAGAATTAAAGTGATTCATTAAATTATACATCTTATTTAATGTCGCATTAGTATCACATAAATTAATGTTACAAATTGTGCTAAATGACATTACTTTTCGAAGAATTATGCCTCTTTGTACATATCTAAACAGGTCAAAGGAATCCAAAATCATGCAGTTTTGCAGAATGTCTCCTGCGCGTGAGGTCCATGAGCGTGTGTACTACATGTGCCACCGTATCATGCAAGCACTGAGGTGTCTCGGGAACTTTCCTTGGACCATGGCATGTAACTGTGCCCAACTATGAGTGACCCGCAGATGGTGCTATCAATAAAATATTTAGGAGTTTGTGTATCTAAGCAACCACTGAAGAGCCAAGGTTTATTCGACCTTAAGTTCATAATGCGAGCTAATATACTTTAACAAATTTAAAAGGATTAGTTGGTGAATAAAATGTAAATATATAACAGAATCAATTAGAAGTCAATTAATCAATAGCCGCCACATGTCACCAACTAAAAAGACTCATTTACCTCCAATGTCTGATTAAAAATCTGTAAATAAGCATATCGAGGATGAAGAAATGCATGCAAAATTTGAATAGTTTCTTCCAAATAGCTATTTCTCCTCTTGATCTTTCAGGAGTATCAAATTAGTGAGTTTAGGAGGGAAAAACTCTGGTTAGTCGATCGGAATTTGTTGATCATCATTTAGATGTCAACAAATGGTCTTGGTATGTGCCGTGAAAATGGTCAAATTTTACCTACTTTGACTTTTTGTAAAAATAAAAAAATAAAATAGAGAGAGAGAGAGAGA